AAGCCTTTAAATGTCCATTAAGCTGTATAGAAGTGTCTTAAAAAATATCTAGTAAAATGTTATTTACTGTCATCATGGCAAAGATAAAATAAATCCATTATTAGAAATGAGTTATTAAAACTATTATGTTTACAAATTTGTTGAAGAAATCTGCTCTTCATTAAATAGACATTGGGGGAAAAAAAAAACAAGCGGGGCTAATAATTCAGGGGGGCTAATAATTCTGACTTCATATATATATATATATATATATATATATATATATATATATATATATATATATATATATTTCTGCAGCTGACGTCAGAACTGCAGAAACATGTTGCTACTTCACAAACATCACTTTAGAGCTAGTGTTTGAATGATTCTCTAGCGTAATGTCTATGATGACAAAACAGGTGATTTTGCACACATTTTACGATTATAGGGCTGAACAGCAAGAAATACCATCAATCAACATAGATTTCCTAGTATTTCTTTGTTGCAGTCGTGAAATCACAATAATTAACCCTGAAAAGATTGCATAGTTGCATGCAATTCTCACCTGAAAGCCTCAAAAGTACATTATGTTGTCCAACAGCTGCAATATTTGTCAAACTGTTGTGAGTTTATTCATCTGTTGTCACTCTATGTGGGCAGAGTAATGAGGGTAAAAAGGCTGTTATTATTGCAGAATATTGCATGGCTATCGGCCAATCAGATTTGAGAACCAGACAGAACTGTTGTAAGTATATCGTTTTTTTATGTAATAACATTGGTTGTATTTTAGCATTTCTTAATTGAAGTTTTTTATTTAAATAATGTTTGATTAAGTAAACGTTCAACATTTAATTAGGTAATGTTTTTAGTTAAAGGTTTTAAAAACCAACAGACTAGAAATCATAATCTTTTTAGCAAAACTAAAGCTAATATATATATATATATATATATATATATATATATATATATATATATATATATATATATATATATATATATATATTTAAAACCTTTATTTAACTAAAATTATTTATATATAATTTATTTATTTATTTATTATTTGTATATACTATACACAGTAATTGTACCATTTTTTGGTTTGCTGTCCATTTTGCTAGCTTCTGTCAATTTAATTTCAAAAATACCAATTTAACTATAATTAGACCTTAACATGAGGCTCTCCTGCCTAATTAAACACTGTCATTCATTAGTAATGTTTCTGTAGCACATATGAACTCAGCTTATTTAGTTTTCCCATGTGTGCATATGTCAATGAATGCCCTATTAAAGCTGTTTATCTGAGACTTTGTGGGATCAGAGAAGGAAGCAGACGATGAATCACAGTTATAATGGACAGATGACTCAGTCACCATCCATTGTGCAGAAATGGCATGGCTGTAAGAATCATCCGTAGCCTGGTATTTTCATCAGTAACCAGAGACCACACTGCAAAGCTCATACCAGACGCATTGCATCAACTACAGTTGGATGAGGTTGTTAATACGTCTTACAGGCTCTCAAAATACACTATTTAAGCACTCCGCTGTTTCCCTTGAAATCAATATTAAATGTTTTTGTGTTGTTAGCTTCTATATATTAAGTTTTAAAGGGACAGTTCACCCAAAAATGAAATCTCTTTCTTCATTTACTCACCCTTCACTTGTTCAAAACCTGTTTGAGTTTCTTCTGTTGAACAAAGTAGGCTATTTTGAAAGTTGCTGGTAGCTGGCACCTATTGACCTATTCTTCTATACATTCCCTACATCCAACGTCATCCCACCCCCCACCAATTAAATTTTCTTCACCTACAATGTTGGCTCAAACTTACATTAATTAGGGAGGCCACAATAAAAAATAGGTTGCAGTGGGTAGCGCACAGTCACTTCACAGCAAGAAAGTCTGGTTCGAGCCTCGGCTGGGTCAGTTGGCATTTCTGTGTGGAGTTTGCATGGTCTCCCTTTGTTGGCATGGGTTTCCTCCGGGTGCTCAGGTTTCCCCCATAGCCCAAAGACATGCTGTAGGTGAATAATTGTCCGTAGTATACTTTATGTGTGTATGTCTTGGTCTTCCAGTTTGGGGGTTGAGCGTTGGGGTAACAACTCACTTCAAAAAATATGGTGTGACTAACTATCAACTTCAATATAAATGGCCCTGGAAGTAAGTAAATAAGTATAATAATAATATATTAAAATATAGTAATACACTTTTTTATTTGAAAAGATTTATTTATCAGGATATAATTTTTTTATTAGGGACTTATTTGGTTAATTTTGCACTCTTGTGTATTTCTTATTTGTTTTACTATTAATTTTTAGGGTTGGGGTAGGGGTAGACGTTAATAAAATATAATAAATGGGAAATTTAATAATTAATATCAATAATTCTCATTAACTTCCGCCTACAGCCGCATGTGGATTGATAATAACAGCCTTTTGAGCTGTCGGCGCAGAAGGCCCCTACTGGCCCATATCTATCATCTGATAACCACTGACAACGCCCATTCAATCGAGTGATAACATTCAAATCGGCTAAAATATTATAATATTATGGCCCAGTAGGTAGTGCTGTCACCTCACAGCCAGAAGGTCACTGGTTCGCGCCTCAGCTGGGTCAGTTGGCGTTTCTGTTGGAGTTTGCATGTTCTCCCCGCGTTTGCGTGAGTTTCTTAAGGGTACTCCAGTTTCCCCCCCAGTCCAAAGACATGCGGTACAGGTGAATTGGGTAGGCTAAACTATCCGTAGTGTATGAGTGTGTGTGAATGTTTCCCAGAGATGGGTTGCAGCTGGAAGGGGTTGACGGTTCATTCCGAACCGAAAAGCTGAAAAGAAAATGAATGTAGGAATGAATGAATAATAATAACAAAAAATATTTAATCAAAATAATAATACAGTGTTTTTAGGAGGATAAAGCAATCTGTTATCATATTTTAGTGTTATTTGGAAGTTGTATAAAAATAATAATAAGAAGAAGAATTAAATAAGAAATAAATCATAACAATATAGTTTTTTAGCAGGCTAAGGCAATCTCTTTTCATTTTTTAGTGTTATTTGGAAGTTGTAATTTCTTTATTTTCAACTTGTGTGTATATATATACACACACATATGTATATATATATGAGCAATATCACACGAGTAGCAGTGCGATATGGCTGTATATCGGCACTGGTGGGAGGTGTGCGATGGAACGAGGCCGCAGGCCAAGTGCCTTAGTGCCCCCACCAGTGCCGATATACAGCCATATCGCACTGCTACGAGTGTTATAATGCATTTATACAACAGTTTGACAACATAATTGTTTATAAAAAAACAAAATCAAACATGGAGAGTCTCAAAAACCCTTTTGTATGAGGAACTACTTTCTTCCGTGTTGGATTCAAATCATAAGCTGACAGTTAAACAGCTGAGCAAGCATCTTTTAAACTTTAGATCTGTAGTGTCTGCTTTTTGCTGGCTGTATGTGGGCGGAGTAATACACAAAGGGTAAAGAGGCTGTAGGAGTTGATATTGCAGAATATCGCACGGCTATCAGCCAATCAGATTTGAGAACCAGACAAAACTGTTGTATAAAATTTTTTAAATAAATACTAAATAAAAGCACAATAATAATACAGTGGCTACATCCGAAATCGCCTACTACTCAGTAGGTACAGCATTTGTATTAGAATTTACTACTCAACCATTAGAAAAGTACCTTCTATATATATATGAATGTGAATAGTATAAATGGATCTCGGACAAACTACATCCATTTTGTTCACTTTACCTACCCACGTCAGTTGAGTTGCTTCACTCCCGTTCATGAACTCACTCGTGGTGCATCATGGGATAGCATTGCATCCATCCGATGCGCACTTCAGAATCTCACCAGAAGTAGAAGGTTAAATTTTGTGAATTCAGACATACTCAGCTCACATACTGTTTAGCGTACTGTATATTATGAAAGTATGCGATTTCAGACACCACCTATTGCTCAGTGAAGTAGTAGGTAATCTTTAAAATGTGAGTTTTTTTGTTTATTTTAATATTCCGATTCCCGTGACTTTTGTATTTTATTAACTTAAATAACCTAAATAGCCGGGTCCATCATGTTTTAGGGTCCGCTTGAAAACATTTCATGCTATTTGAAACTGTAGTGCGAAAATGTTTTATTCATTTGTTTGCGTTGTGAGACTTTGCGACACATGCTGTCAAACAGAAGAGGATCTTTTCTCAATTTCCTGGCGTTTTTTTTGCAATGTGTTTTCTTAAATTGCAGCATGTTAAGCTCTCTCGGCCTCCATAGGGTTTTTGCCTTTTGACATAAACATAAGAGCGCCGTAATATTACAGTGTTTCTGGGAGGGTAAAGCAATCCGTTTTCATGTTTTAGTTCACACTTAGATATTGTTTGACAGCTGTTTGGCATGCTGTCCCGGGAGAGAACCCTGAGCTCGGAGATAGTTGAGCCCAGGGCTCCGACCTGGTCCATAGATCATGTGAGGGGAGTACGAGATCAGGTGGTTCTCGAGAGCTCCCTCTTGGTAAAGGAGGAAAGGAGGAGAAGGGGTGGATGAGGGATTTCTTCAGAAAACAAAGATAAGGGAGTAGCTCTAGCAAGGCTACATATAATGAGTTTGGATTAATCTGATTGGCTAACTAATGAATGTAGATGGGTGGCCAGCTGGAGTCAATCATATCACGTGCTCCTTTCGAAATTAGTTTGAGAAACTTCACTTGGAAGTTGTAATTTCTTTATTTTTAGCTTGGGCCATGTCTTGCAGAGGTTTGACCTGTGACCTCTAGAGCTCATTGCCTGAGTCTGCATCTTAGTTAATATCAGACATGATTTTATTCTCAGAACTTCAAATTTTATTTATGAAAAAAATGACCTGGACCTGAGTGATGTCATTGCTACTTCATACCTGGATGGTCTGCTACTTCCTCTAGAAATGTAAACTCTAATACTGCCCACCACGCATTGTGCTTTGAGTGTGAATTTGATTGTAATTGTAAACGCTTGTGTCGAATCTGTGTGTGTTTCAGTACTCCGGCTGCCTGCAGGGGCCCGCAGGCACTCCGGGACGGGATGGTAATCCGGGAGCCAATGGGATTCCTGGCACTCCAGGTCTGCCAGGCCGAGATGGGGTCAAAGGGCAGAAGGGCGAGTGTGTGAGCGAGAGGTTTGAAGAGCCCTGGAAACCCAATTATAAACAGTGTGCCTGGAACGCACTCAACTATGGCATCGACCTGGGCAAGATCACAGTAAGAGCAAACTTTACCACAGTATATATACACACTACCTGACTAAAGTCTTGTTGCTTATCCAAGTTTTAGTAACAACAAATAATACCTTGACGTCTAGTTGATCATTTGATATCAGAAGTGGCTTATATGAAAGACAAAAGGCCTCTAGATTATTTTACCACAATAAAATATGACCATGCCTTGACTTTTAATTATTTAATTAGGACAGTAAGGTCTGACTTTGCTTAGACTAAAGTCTTGTTACTGAACAGAAATAGAGTTCTACTGCAGTTCAACAGATGTTTTGGAAAAATCTACCTTCTGCCACTTCCAAATGAAGTCAAGTTATTATTTGTTACAACTGAGATCAACAACAAGACTTTTGTCAGGTGTGTATATATAAATATATATTTGTTATTTATTTATTTATTTATTGTGATCATAGTTTTTTATAATTTTTATTTTGTTCCATTATTTTTTTTATTTTAATATAGATCAAATTTATGTTATTTATTCATGAATAATCTTATTTGTTTAGTCAAATTAGCACTTCATTTGTTTCTATTTACTTATTTCATATTTATTTTATATATTTTACTTTTTTTTTTTTTTTTAACTGCAATATTGACTGGGTCAAAATTTTTGTAAGAGGCCATAATATTAACATATTAATACATAATAATAACATTGGTTTTAAATTAATAAACATATGTGGGTTTTTTCAGTATATTTTGTCTTTATCAATGATTTCTTTGGTTATTTTTGCACTTAACCTTATGTATATCTTTTTTATGTACTCTGTTTTCATAATTTAGTTTTGGAGGCTGTATTTTTTTATCTTTGGCTTTTTTAGATTTTAGAAATGTTAGAAATTCTGCTATGTTTAATATTTCATAATTTTGTTATGCATTTTTGTCATCGACATTAAAAAAAAAAAAAGGAAAGCACAGTAATAATATACAGTGTTTTGGGGAGTGTAAAACTGCCGTGTCTGTTTTTAAAGGGATAATATTTCTAAAGGGATACAATTTACACCATTATTTCCCTCAATTGGCTCCAAACCATTTTTGGATTCTTCCCCCTACTGAACACAATCTTTTATATTTTGAAGAAAGCTGAAAACCTGTAGCCATTGACTTCTTTATTCATTCATTAATTTTCTTGTCGGCTTAGTCCCTTTATTAATCCGGGGTCGCCACAGCGGAATGAATCACCAACTTATCCAGCAAGTTTTTACGCAGCAGATGCCCTTCCACACATCCACACACACATTTACACCCACACTCATACACTACGGACAATTTAGCCTACCCAATTCACCTGTACGGCATGTCTTTGGGCTGTGGGGGAAACCGGAGCACCCGGAGGAAACCCACGCGAACGCAGGCAGAACATGCAAACTCCACACAGAAACGCCAACTGAGCCGACGCTCAAACCAGCAACCTGTGAGGCGACAGCATTACCTATTGCGCCACTGCTTCGCCCTTGACTTCTTTAATAGAAAAAAAAAAACAAATACCATGGAAGTGAATGGTTACAGCTTTCCAACCTTTTTTTCAAAATATCTTCTTTTGAGTTTAACAGAAGAAAGACACCTCTGAGTGTTTGAAAAGTAAAGGGTGAGTAAATGATAACAGAAATGCCATTTTTGGCTGAACTATCCTTATAAAGCCAGAAAGGCTGAGAGTACAGTAATGTGCGAGTGTGTTTTGTTCCTCAGACTGATGTGCTGGGCTGTGTTTGTGTCGTCAGGAGTGCACGTTCACTAAACAGTATGCAGACAGTGCTCTGCGTGTGCTGTTCAGCGGCTCTCTGCGGCTCAAGTGTAAGAACGCTTGCTGTCAGCGCTGGTACTTCACTTTTAATGGGGCCGAATGCACCGCTCCGCTGCCTGTAGAGTCCATCATCTACCTGGACCAGGGCAGCCCAGAGCTCAACTCCACCATCAACATCCACAGAACCACATCCGGTGAGGAGCTTATCATGTTTGGAAATTGTGCATTTTTCAAAATATTTCTGCAAGTTTTGTATCAACAAATGAGGTGAATATGTCTTTTTGTGATTCATAATTTTGCATAAATTAATGAAATGTTCATAAAAATATGTCCATTATAACTGTGATTCATCGTCTGCTTCCTTCTCTGATCCCACAAAGTCTCAGATAAACGTCACAAAGTCTCAGATAAACAGCTTTAATAGGGCATTCATTGACATATGCACACATGGGAAAACTAAATAAGCTGAGTTCATATGTGCTACAGAAACATTACTAATGAATGACAGTGTTTAATTACGCAGGAAAGCCTCATGTTAAGGAATAATTATTGTTAAATTGGTAATTTTGAAATTAAATTGACATTAGCTAGCAAAATGGACAGCAAACAAAAAAATGGTACAATTACTGTGTATATTAGTTATTGTACTTATTAAAATCAAAACAAAAACCATTATTTAACTGATTTATTTTCACTTTATATACAGTTGAAGTCAGAATTTTTTGCCCCCCTGAATTATTAGCACCCCTGTTTATTTTTTCCCCAATTTCTGTTCTGTTCTGGGAAGATTGTTTCAGCACATTTCTAAGCATAATAGTTTTAAAAACTTATTTCTAATGACTGATTTATTTTATCTTTTTTAAATATTTTTAAGGAAAATATTTTATATTGTTATTTTTGTTTGAGAATAAATACTGTTTGACCACTGATATGTTGTAAATTAATAACTGTATTAACACTAGTAAAAAAAAACTCAAAATAAGAAAAATAAAACAAAAATGGTTTCCCGAGGTTTTTAGATTGATCTTCTCTAGTTTTAAATAATTAAAATTTTAAACACACACACAGTTGAAGACAGAATTATTTGCTCCCTTTAAATTTTTGTTTTCCTTTTTAAATATTTCCCAAATGTTGTTTAACAGGGCAAGGAAATTTTCACAGTATGTCTGATAATATTTTTTCTTCTGGAGAAAGTCTTATTTGTTTTATTTCGGCTAGAATAAAAGCAGTTATTAATTTTTTAAACACCATTTAAAGGGCAAAATTATTAGCCCCCTTAAGCTTTATTTTCTTCGATAGTCTACAGAACAAACCATCATTATACAATAACTTGTACTAGTTAACCTAATTAACCTAGTTAAGCCTTTGAAAGTCATAATCTATTATGTTTAGAAATGTAACAGGGGGGCTAATAATTCTGACTTCAACTATATATACAGTTGAAGTCAGAATTATTAGCCCCCTTTTGATTTTTTTTTTTTCCTTTTTAAATATTTCCCAAATGATGTTTAACAGAGCAAGGAAATTTTCACAGTATGTCTGATAATATTTTTTTCTTCTGGAGAAAGTCTTATTCGTTTTATTTCGGCTAGAATAAAAGTAGTTTTAAATAAAAAAAAAATAAAAATTGGGGACAAAATTATTAGCCCCTTTAAGCTGATTTTTTTTTTTTCGATAGTCTACAGAACAAACCATCATTATACAATAACTTGCCTAATTACCCTAACCTGCCTAGTTCACCTTATTAACCTAGTTAAGCCTTTAAATGTCAATTTAAACTGTAAAGAAGTGTCTTGAAAAATATCAAGTAAAATATTATTTACTGTCATCATGGCAAAGATAAAATAAATGTTATTAGAAATAGGTTTCTAAAACTATTATGCTTAGAAATATGCTGAAACAATCATCCCTCCATTAAACAGAAATTTTGGAAAAAAATAAACAGGGGCGCTAATAAGTCAGGGGGGCTAATAATTCTGACTATATATATATATATATGAGAGTTGTGAATATGTGAATTATTATATATATATTTATATATAATTATTAGCCCCCCTTTAATTTTTCTTTTTTAAATATTTCACAGTATGTCTGATAATATTTTTTCTTCTGGAGAAAGTCTTATTTGTTTTATTTCGGCTAGAATAAAATGAAGTTTTTAATTTTTTAAACACCATTTAAAGGTCAAAATTATTAGCCCCTTTAAGCTATTTTTTTTTCAATAGTCTACAGAACAAACCAACGTTATACAATAGCTTGCCTAATTACCCTAACCTGCCTAATTGCCTAATTAACCTCGTTAAGCCTTTAAGCTGTATAGAAGTGTCTTGAAAAATATCTAGTCAAATATTATTTACTGTCATCATGGCAAAGATAAAACAAATCAGTTATTAGAAATGAGTTATTAAAACTATTATGTTTAGAAATGTGTTGAAAAAATATAATAAATATTAATAATTTATAATAATAATACATATATAATAAATATATGTATGTATGTATGCATATATAGTCATACAATATATAGTGTCCTTTTCAATTTGGTAATGTTTATGTGCATGATACATTTTCAATCAAGTGTTTTTGTGTTTTGCTTGAGTGTTTGTGTTGTCCCCGATGTCCTCGTACGGTTGGTATCATAGTCTGACAACCCTGCACCCCTAGTTCTGCAGCTCCAGATATGAGCATCTCATAACACACTATGAGGAAAACAGCTACTTTTACTGCAGCCTGAGGGGAAATGAAGATAGTCTTATCTGCTGTAATTAATCCATTCCAGGCCATTTGCAGTGTTTAGAGCCCGAGAGCTTTTCAAAGTCTTTCTCTGAGCCATGAAGCGCTTTTTATTTATCGTACATCAGTGTTAATGGACTGATGGCTTGAACTTCATATCACAGGTCAAAACACTGCGGGTCATTCAGCACAGGACCGGCTTTTGTGTTCCTCATTAACATATGTAAAACATAATGTACAGACGGACGGTCATTATTAAAGAATAAAGCCCGTCGGCAAACATGCTCGATCATCCTAAAGGGTTTATTTCACAATAATGACCTGTCCTCTTACATCTCCCTGCTTATTAGTAGATATACGCACATATTCAAACATGCTTTACAAGTATAAAATACTGCTCAGGGGATCCTGCAAAAGCCAGGTTGCGTTATACCTTAATATATGATATATATTAAGGGTGCTGGTCGGCAGCTAGCTCTCTGAAACTCTAACATGGTCGCTTACTGAAGCTAAGCGGGGTTGCGCCCGGTCAATACCTAGATGGGAGACCACATGGGAAAGCTTGGTTGCTGCCGGAAGAGGTGTCACTGAGGCCAGCAGGAGGCGGCCAACCTGCGTTCTGTGTGGGTCCTAATACCCCAGTATAGTAACTGGGATACTATACTGCTCAGTGAGCGTCGACTTTCGGATGAGACGTCAAACCTAGGTCCTGACTCTCTGTGGTCATTAAAAACCCCATGTCCTTCGAAAAATCTGCCCACTTGGCCTCATCATGGCCTCCTAACCATCCCTATTTCATAATTGGCTCCATCACTCTGTCTCCTCTCCACCATTCAGCTGGTGTGCGGTCTGGTGGCAAAATGGCTGCTGTTGCGTCATCCATGTGGTGGATGAGGAGATTCCCCCCGATGTGTAACGTGCTTTGAGTGCCCAGAAAAGCACCATATAAATGTAAGGAATTATTTTATATATATAAAAAAATGCCACCCCTTACCTAATTTTGGGGGAAAATATAAAATTAAATTTTAATAAACAGGAAAAATCAAGAGAAACATAAAAAAAAAATATGCAATTGTGTAGATGTTTTGTGACCAAACTCTTATTTTAATGAATATAACATTAGCTGAGAAATGGATATTTATGTGTATTGTTGACTGTTTAACTGTTTAAATAATAAAATATGTATTATGTATCAAAATATGTATTAAGTAATATTAAGTGTCTTTTTTTTGACAGGTTAGCTTATGGCAACCGTAAACTCAATAACAGTACTATATAAAATAAAATAAAATAAAATAAAATAAAATAAAATAGTGCTAATAAAAGAAATAAAATAGTGTTAGCTATTCAAGTTGGATAGGTAGCACACCAACTACCAAGATGAGTATACGATGAAAGAGTTTCTATTTTTGGGTGAACTATTCCTTAAAAGCTGCAGTCCAGAACTGATTTTGTTTGTTTTGTTTAGTTTAAAATCAACCAGAAAGCAACATTTGACCAAGTACTAACAGCCAGTGTTCAAAAGTATCTTCTCACCTTTCTTTTTTCTGCTGAACACAAAAGAAGATGTTTTGAAGAATGTTACAAACTGGTAACCATTGACTTACATAGTATTACTATTCCTACTATAGAAGTCAATGGTTACCATTTTTCAAAATGTCTTTACAACCGAAAAAACTACCAAGATGAGTAAACGATGAGAGTTTTAATTTTGGGTGAACTATTTCTTTAAAGCTGCAGTCCAGAACTGTTTGTTTTTTTTTGTTTTTTAAGTTTGTTTGGTTGTTTTGTTTAAAATGACCCAGAAAGAAACATTTGATCAAGTAGCTACTCTAACAGCCAGTTTAAAAGTATCTATTTACCTTTCTTTTCTCTGGTGAACACTAAAGAAGATATTTTGAAGAATGTTACAAACCGGTAACCATTGACTTACATAGTATTATTACTCCTACTATAAAAGTCAGTGGTTACCAATTTTCCAAATATCTTTTTATTTTAGATAGAAAAAAAAACTACCAAGATGAGTAAACGAGAGAGTTTTCATTTTGGGGGGAAATATTTGCAGTCCAGAACTGTTTTTGTTTGTTTGTTTGTTTGTTTGTTTGTTTTTGTTTTTTGTTTTGTTTTGTTTAAAATGACCCAAAAAGCAACATTTGACCAAGTACTAAACAGCCTGTGTTTAAAAGTATCTCCTTACCTTTCTTTTTTCAGCTGAACACAAAGAAGATACATTGAAGAATGTTACAAACCTGTAACCATTGACTTGTATAGTATTTTTTCCCACCATAAAAGTCAACGGTGTTCAGTTTTCAAAATATCTTTTGTTTTTTTCAACAGATAAAACCATTATTGTGAAAAGCGCTATACAAACTGCATTAAATTGAACTCAAACCAGGAATGCATGTAAAAATTCCTCAAAAAATGCCACCACTTACTTAATTTGGGGGGAAAATATGAAATAAAATTTTAATAAACAGGAAAAATCGAAAGAAACATAAAAAATATACAATTATGTAGATGTTTTGTGACCAAACTCTTATTTTAATGAATATAACATTAGCTGAGAAATGGATATTTATGTGTATTGTTGACTGTTTAACTGTTTAAATAATAAAATATGTATTATGTATCAAAATATGTATTAAGTAATATTAAGTGTCTTTTTTTTGACAGGTTAGCTTATGGCAACCGTAAACTCAATAACAGTACTATATAAAATAAAATAAAATAAAATAAAATAAAATAAAATAGTGCTAATAAAAAGAAATAAAATAGTGTTAGCTATTCAAGTTGGATAGGTAGCACACCAACTACCAAGATGAGTATACGATGAAAGAGTTTCTATTTTTGGGTGAACTATTCCTTAAAAGCTGCAGTCCAGAACTGATTTTGTTTGTTTTGTTTTGTTTAAAATCAACCAGAAAGCAACATTTGACCAAGTACTAACAGCCAGTGTTCAAAAGTATCTTCTCACCTTTCTTTTTTCTGCTGAACACAAAAGAAGATGTTTTGAAGAATGTTACAAACTGGTAACCATTGACTTACATAGTATTACTATTCCTACTATAGAAGTCAATGGTTACCATTTTTCAAAATGTCTTTACAACCGAAAAAACTACCAAGATGAGTAAACGATGAGAGTTTTAATTTTGGGTGAACTATTTCTTTAAAGCTGCAGTCCAGAACTGTTTGTTTTTTTTTTGTTTTTTAAGTTTGTTTGGTTGTTTTGTTTAAAATGACCCAGAAAGAAACATTTGATCAAGTAGCTACTCTAACAGCCAGTTTAAAAGTATCTATTTACCTTTCTTTTCTCTGGTGAACACTAAAGAAGATATTTTGAAGAATGTTACAAACCGGTAACCATTGACTTACATAGTATTATTACTCCTACTATAAAAGTCAGTGGTTACCAATTTTCCAAATATCTTTTTATTTTAGATAGAAAAAAAAACTACCAAGATGAGTAAACGAGAGAGTTTTCATTTTGGGGGGAAATATTTGCAGTCCAGAACTGTTTTTGTTTGTTTGTTTTTGTTTTTTTTGTTTTGTTTTGTTTAAAATGACCCAAAAAGCAACATTTGACCAAGTACTAAACAGCCTGTGTTTAAAAGTATCTCCTTACCTTTCTTTTTTCAGCTGAACACAAAGAAGATACATTGAAGAATGTTACAAACCTGTAACCATTGACTTGTATAGTATTTTTTCCCACCATAAAAGTCAACGGTGTTCAGTTTTCAAAATATCTTTTGTTTTTTTCAACAGATAAAACAATTATTGTGAAAAGCGCTATACAAACTGCATTAAATTGAACTCAAACCAGGAATGCATGTAAAAATTCCTCAAAAAATGCCACCACTTACTTAATTTGGGGGGAAAATATGAAACAAAATTTTAATAAACAGGAAAAATTGAAAGAAACATAAAAAATATACAATTATGTAGATGTTTTGTGACCAAACTCTTATTTTAATGAATATAACATTAGTTGAGAAATAGATATTTATGTGTATTGTTGACTGTTTAACAGTTTAATTAATAAATAAAATATGTATTAAGTAATATTAAGTGTCTTTTTTTAGGTTATGGCAACCATAAACACAATAACAGTACTGTATCATGACAAATAAAAGCTATTCAAGTTGATTAGCTAGCACATCAGTTGTTACCTATTTCCTATGATCATAAACAATGCAGTATAATTATTGTGTTTCTGTAATTAAATAAAGTCCCCAAAATAGCACTTGAGTACAATAATCAAGAACAATGACTCGGGTATTATACAATCACTGGCTAACCTGCTGTATGTTTGCTTCAGTTGAAGGGTTATGTGAAGGCGTGCGGAAAGGCCTGGTGGATGTGGCGGTCTGGGTGGGAACGTGTGGCGATTATCCGCATGGAGACGCCTCCACCGGCTGGAACTCTGTGTCCCGGATCATCATAGAAGAGCTTCCCCTGAGCAGCTGAGTCAATCTGCGGGAAACTACACACTTATTAAAGGGACAGTTCACTTAGAAATTCAACATTTACCGACTGACTAACCTTCAAGTGTCTACAAACATTCAGAAGTTTATTTTTTCTGCTGAATACAAAAGGAGATACTTTGAAGAATGTTACAAACTGGTAACCATCAACTTAAATAGTAATTTTTTATTTCTACTATAGAAGTCTTTTATGTTTTTTTTTTTCCAACAGGAAAAAAAGAACCAAGATGAGTAAACGATGAGAGTTTTCATTTTTTGTTGAACTTTTCCTTTAAAGCTGCAGTCCAGTACTGTTTTTTGGTTTAAAATAGCCCAAAAGCAACATTTGACCAAGTAGCTCACCAGCCAGTGTTCAAAACCATCCCTTTACTTTAGTTTCTTTTTTCTGCTGAACACAAAAAATGAGGTTTTGAAAAATTTTACAAACTGGTAACCTTTGACTAACATAGTATTTTTTATTTTTTTGTGCCTATTATAGCAGTCGAGTGTTACCTTTTTTTTTACTACAAAGATAAGTTTTTAAAATACCTTTTGTTTTCAATGGAAACAAATTACCAAAATGAGTAAACAATGAGAAAGTTTACTTTTTATGTGTCTCCTTACCTTTCTTTTTTTTTTTTTTTTTTTTGATAAACACAATAGAAGATGCTTTGAAGAATGTTACAAAACGGTTGTACATTTTTATTTGTACAATAGAAGTCAATGGTTACCAGTTTTCAAAATGCCTTTACAATAGAAAAAAACTACCAAGATGAGTAAACGATGAAAGCTTTCATTATAGGGTGAACTATTCTTTTAAAACTCCAGTCCAGAACTTTTTTTTTTTTTATTGTTTGCTTTGTTTAAAATGACCCGAAAAGCAACATTTGACCAAGTACAGTAGCAACTGTAACCAGCCAGTGTTCAAAAGTATCTCCTTACCTTTATTTTTTCTGCTGAACACAAAAGAAGATATTTTAAAGAATGTTACAAACCGGTAACCATTACCTTACATACTATTTTTTTTTATACAATAGAAGTCAATGCAGTTTTCAAAATATATTTTGTTTTCAACAGGAAAAAAGCACTAAGATGAGTAAACAATGAGAGGGTTTTCTTTTTTGGGTTTCCCTACCTTTCTTTTTTTTCTGTTAAACACAAAAGAAGATGTTTTGAAAAATGTTACAAACCGGTAACCATTGACTTACATAGTATTACTATTCCTACTATAGAATCAATAGTTACCAGTTTTCAAAATGTCTTTACAACTGAAAAAAAAAACTACTAAGATGAGTAAACGATGAGAGTTTTCATTTTTGAGTGAACTATTCTATTAAAGCTGCTGTCCAGAACTGATTTTTTCTTCATACTGATGCTCTGTGTCAGGGGTCATCAAACTTGTTCCTGGAGGGCCGGTGACCTACAGATCTTAGCTCCAACCCTAATCAAACACACCTGAACAAGCTAATCAAGGTTTTACTAGGTATACTTTAAACATCCAGGCAGGGGTGTTGAGGCAAGTTGGAGCTAAACCCTGCAGGGACCCCTGCTCTGTTTGAACTGAGGCAGTTCATCTTGATCATGTCTACATGCCTAAATGCATTGAGTTGCTGCGATGTGATTGGCTGATAAGAAATTTGCGTTAACAAGTAGCTGGACAGGTGTACCTAATAAAGTGGCCGGTGAGTGTGTAGTTAACTGTGCAGTTTCACACACATAAAATACTTTTGCATGTACTGTGGGGGAAATTAATATTTTCCTGGGAATAATATTTCTAAAAGAGCTGTTGACGTGGAATTGAACCAGACAACATAAACGTAAGAATAAAACAAAAAAAAAAAAAAAAAAGAATCTGAACAATTAGTTATGTGTAACAACAATAGTATGACACAAGAAGAAAGTACTAAACTGCTGAAATGTATTTAATACTTTGTTAAATGATTGTTTGATGGTCAACTATGGCAGTCCTTCTCTGATGATGTCAGTTTGACAGCTTTATGGACAAGATTTGCATAGCCACGCCCCTCAAACCGTTATTTTGCTGTAAGTGAAACATTAGAGGCAGAGCCCACAAAGAAAGCCCCGCCCCCTGCTTAATATTCCATCTGTCCTGTAAAAACAGCCAATTAACAGCTTCTTATTGATGTTACGTTATCGTGAACTGTATGTGTCTAATAATCACAAACAATCACAAAAAAGTCTGTTTTCTAGCGAGTCGCTGTCAGTAATTTAAGAGATTGAGACTGGACAGGTGCTGTGAAAACTCTAAATGCATTTTAATGGATCATTTTTAAATGTCAATAAAGTTTTTTTTACAGATTTGGGTACATGTTCTTCAAAGAGTGTCGGTTATTAACCTATGAGCGGTACAAATTCAAGGCCACGAATCTAAGCTCATTAACACAAATGTCAGCGATGAGCTAGAAATGTCAGATTGAGTACATTTTGTGCGCTTCTGATGTGAGGAATTAAACTTGAGGTGGGTTTTGTGCAGGAAACCGTAGAGTAGCAATGCATTATGGGTGTACAATAAACTTATGTACACATAGAACATCATATTTCTCTTGATTGCTCAGTGAATTATCAATAGAGCTGGTCAATGTAGACAGAAAATAAACGGAAGACTGAATAAAAAAAAATAAATGATTACCGCCTAAAATCTTTTTAATTGCATCATAGAAACATTTAGTCATCTCATCAGTCAAACGGACTAAAAATATGAAGGTAAACTTTGTATGACTAAAACAAAACGAGTTGAAATCTGATTAACTGATTTATATTAAAGTAACATAAAAGCATTTGTTTTCAGGACTTTTTGTTCTATAATTTCTTTACAGTGCACAATTTGTAGTGGTCTTTTTTCATACATTTGTAGGCAATTAGAGTTTAGATTTAGAAGGTCTTTTAGGAAATGTATACTTTTATTATTAATGATACATTACATTGATCAAAAGCGACAGTAAGTGCATTTATGATGTTACAAAAAAACATATACAGTTAGTCAAAATTATTAGCCCCTCTGAATTATTTTTTCCCCCAATTTCTGTTTAACGGAGAGTTTTTTTCAACACATTTCTAAACAAAATAGTTTTAATAACTCATTTCTAATAACTGATTTATTTAATCTTTATCATGATGACAGTAAATAATATTTGACTAGATATTTTTCAAGACACTTCTGTACAGCTTAAAGTGACATTTAAAGGCTTAACTAGGTTAATTAGGCAGGTTATTGTATAATCATGGTTTTGTTATAGACAGTCGAGAAAAAAAAATTGTTTAAAGGGGATAATAATTTTAAAATGGTTCATAAAAAATTAAAGACTGGTTTTATTCTAGCCGAAATGAAACAAATAAAATTTTCTCCAGAAGAAAAAATATTATCAGACATACTGTGGAAATTTTCCTTGCTCTGTTAAACATCATTTGGGAAATATTTAAAAAAGAAAAAAAAGATTCAAAGGGGGCTAATATTTATGACTTCAACTGTATTTTGCATCCATTTCTATTTATTTTAAACAAATGTTAGTAATGGTTTCCACAAAAATATCGAGCAGCAAAAAAGTTATTAACATTGATATTAATAAGAAGCATTTGTCGAGAATGATCATGAGACAGTCAAGACTGAATGGTGTTTGCATCACAAAAACAAATCTATTCAATTCAAAAACTTAATTTGTGAAATATGTCCATATTCTACTGTTGTCATTTTTTTCTCTAATAAATGCAGCCACTGTAAACAAAATAATATTTAAACAGTAGTAAGTGTACACTTTGATTCATATACAGTTGAGGACAGAATTATTAGCTCCCCTTTGAATTTTTTTTTTTTTTTTTTTTTTTCATTTAAAAATATTTCCCAAATGATGTTTAACAGAGCAAGGACATTTTCACAGTATGTCTGATAATATTTTGTCTTCTGGAGAGTCTTATTTGTTTTATTTTGGCTAGAATAAAAACAGTTTTTCATTTTTTTTTAAAAACATTTTAAGGTCAAAATTATTAGCCCCTTTAAGCTATATTTTTCTCGATAGTCTACAGAACAGTCTAATTACCCTAACCTGCCTAGTTAACCTAATTAACCTAGTGAAGCCTTTAAATGTCACTTTAAGCTGTATAGAAGAGTCTCAAAATATCTAGCCAAATATTATTTACTGTCATCATGGCAAAGATAAAATAAATCAGTTATTAGAGATGAGTTATTACAACTCTTATGTTTAGAAATGTGTTGAATTTTTTTTCTCTACATTAAACAGAAATTGGAGAAAAAAACAGAAGAGCTAATAATTCAGGGGGCTAATAATTCTGACTTCAACTGTATATATAAAATGCCACAAGGAGTGAAGACAAAAGAGCTGCTGAATTCTTACATTTTTCAATTTGCTTTCGGTATATATTTTTTAAAGAAATATTTGAGCAGATTCCCTGAAATTAATGGTGTAACATAAAAAAGCACAAGCATGTCATGGATATTTGACAAATTGCCCAGCCCTAGCGTAATCCATCGATAATCTCTTAATAATAAAAAAATTAAACCTCCCTTAATTGTTACACCTTATAATTAAACAAATCTTCATTGTCTACATTTACCATAACATGACCTCTGAAACCACACAGGAACTGTTTCTGAACCAGCGTCTCCTGGTCATCACACTTTGATTTCAGTGATCTCCTGCATTTCAGTTTTCCAGAGAGGACCTGGTTGTGTTATTTCCCTGTGTTCATGGTTTTTTTCTCCTCCATGGTCTCTGTCAGGCTGACCCGCCTCAGGTCCAGCTCTGCTCCTTGAAGCATAGATCCTGTTTAATTCTTTTCTCTGATCATTTGTTCTGGTCCAGGAGGACACGGGACACGTTCTCATACACCACGAAGGTGATGCAGCAGGCCGGAGTGACCCGGATCAGGTTGGGCACCATGCCTTTGTAGAAACCCAGCAGGCCTTCATTTCTGATCAGACATGAGGAGAATTGGTGAACTAAATTATAACGAATTACAATCTTAACAATAATTATATATATATATATATATATATATATATATATATATATATATATATATATATATATATATTAGGGATGTAACGGTATTGTAAATACCGTCATACCGCAATATTAATTTTTTTCGATATTACCGAAGTCGCATGACTCGGTAAAACTATAGGTCTTCTGAGAAAATTTGCTCAGGCGAATGAAGCGAACGGGAGGTACCGGAAACTACAATTCCCATCAGCCCAGACTTGGCCATAATCCCTTGCGGTCTGTTGTCGCTACAGATCCAGTAATGCGGAAATGGAGTGTGCTGCTAGAAGCGGGAATGAAAAAAAGCTGGGTGTTGTCGCAGCGCGCGTACTGAATAGTGGTGTTGTCGCGCGAGTTCTTATCAGCTGTGTTGTCGCGCGAGTACTGAATAGTGGTGTTGTCGCGCGAGTTCTTATCAGCTGTGTTGTCGCGCGCGTACTGTAAAGCGGGATGGAGGGTATGTCGCGTCGCGGGGGCACTTTTGATCATTTTGGAAGGGAACTTTCTATCCAAGACTAAAAAGGGCATGTGCACTGCACAGGTTGAGCCCTATGTGTGCACATGCCTGCAAGTTGGGGAATACGACTAATAATCAGTCATGGGGACTGCAGAAACACAGCACACTGTTCAGATTGATGCAGACATAAGATCTCTATCTCACTCATGGTTTGTCCTCTCAAGTGGGGGAAAGACAATGCACAACGTTACCCACTGCTGTCAACCTGGGCCAAGTCATATCTCTCTTGTCCCAGAAACCTCAGTCCCAAATGAGAGGGTTTTTTTCTGTTGCAGGGGACATTGTAAATACTCAGAGATACCAGCTTTTACCAGATTATATTTATATGATAATTTTCCTTTAAACCCATCTCTATCTAAGTGAGTGAGTGATTAAATGTTGAATGTGATGAGTTTTCAACAATACTAAATTGAAACTTAATTTTTTTACATGGTTTAATATTTTTTTGTTATTAAAATTGAAGTTCCTGTTTCAAAGCTTACAGATAGATGGCTAATTTGTATTTCATTGACACTTTTGGCACTTTTTTGGAGTATTTTCATAAGTTTTGTTTTTTCCTGTAAATGATTTAATAAATACCGTACCGTGACATTCATACCGAGGTATTACCGTACCGTGAAATTCTGATACCGTTACATCCCTAATATATATATATATATATATATATATATATATATATATATATATATATATATATATATATATATATATATATATATACACACACACACACACACACACACACACACACACACACTGCATCTGGAAAGTATTCATAGCGCTTCACTTTTTCCATATTTTTTTGTTATGTTACAGCCTTATTCCAAAATGGATTAAATTCATTCATTTCCTTAACATTCTACCCACAATACCCCATAATGTAAATGTGAAAAACGATTTTTTGAAATTGTTGCAAATTTATTAAAAATAAAAAACCTGAAAAATCACATTTCAAATCACATCAGTATTCACAGCCTTTGCTCAATACTTTGCTGATTCACCTGTGGCAGCAATTACAGCCTCAAGTCTTTTTGAATACGATGCCACAAGCTTGGCACACCTGTCTTTGTAGTACCTGTCAAGCTCTATCGGGTTGGATGGGAAGCGACAGTGTACAGCCATTTTCAGATCTCTCCAGAGCTCAGACAGAGTGACCATCAGGTTATTGATCACCTCCCTGACTAAGGCGATTCTCTCCGATCACTCAGCTTAGATGGCCGGCCAGCTCTAGGAAGAGTCCTGGTGGTTCCAAACATCTTACACTTAGAGATGATGGAGCCACTGTGCTCATTGGAACTTTCAGAGCAGCAGAAATTCTTCTGGAACCTTCCCCAGCCTTGTGCCTTGAGACAACCCTGCCTCGGAGGTCTACGGACAATTCCTTTGTCTTCATGCTTGGTTTGTGCTTTGACATGCACCATCAACCCTGGGAGCTTATATAGACAGGTGTATGCCTTTTCAAATCATGTCCAATCAACTGAATTCACCACAGGTGAACTCCAATGAAGCTGCTGAAACATCTCAAGAATGATCAGTGGAAACAGAATGTACCTGAGCTCAATTTAGAGCTTCACGGCAAAGGCTGTGAATACTTCTGTACATGCGATTGTTCAGGTTTTTATTTTTAATAAGTTTGCGACAATTTCAAGAAATCTTTTTTTGACATTCTCCAACAATGTCAGGATAATAATCAATTTAAAAAGTTGTATAAATATATATTATTAAAGGGAATATAATGATGAAGGTGATTGAAAAATAATAAAAGGTAAAAGGTAGGATGTAATTTCAGTTAATGGCTATTTGCAATACTGTTTTTTTTATATGTTAAAAAATGTAAAGGTACAAATGGAATCAAGCATATAATTTGTCAAAGTTGCCAAAAGGATAAAATAAGTCTCATGTAAAAAGAAGAGATAAGTAAAGGAAGAAATAAGTTTAAGTAATAGAAGAATGATGTATGTGGTAATGGGGTGGGATAATAATAAGCTTGTGCTTCATCCCACTCTATTTTCCACCATGTTGAAATGTATTGTTTATTAAGGATATTTTATGTATGATGTTTCTGTTCAAAAACAAATAAATCAAATCAATAAAGAGAAAGATACAAATGAAATAAACAGCGTTCGTTTTCTGAGAAGTTTAACTGGTAATTTAATAATCAAATGTAAAATAATATTGCATCGTCTTTTTTTAATAAACAATTAAATTTGGTACGATTTCTTAGGCCTGAATGCTTTTAAATGCCTCAAAAAGCACTTTTAATATTATATTAAATATTTTATTATATAGTTATAATCCAGACTTAATATTGCGTATACTTGCGATGTGTCTATTGCGAATGATCAGATTCCGATTTTGATGCTGAAACTATATATTGTGCAGCCCTAATTAACATTAAAAATCTTTTGGGTATTTTGTTTTTGTCCCCCCAAGTTATTTGTTGGTTCAGGTTTACCTCCACGTTCTCCAGACGACGTCTGTCAATCCGTTATACGTGTTGTGTTGATCTTGCAGGCGGGCTCGGACCACCTGATATGGGTACGTTGTAGCCACGGCGAATATTTTGGACAAAGCTGCCATGGTAATGTATTCTAATGGATTCTGGAGACAAAACAGAGCACAAATGCATTGTGGGTTACTATAAACACCATTAAAGGTCTAGTGAAGTTCTTCGAAATCTGTATTTTTTTATTCGATTTTGACGTAATCTCAACCGAAACATAAGGAGAGGATGTGGCAAAGTGTAGCCCCTCCCCTTTTTAATGAACAGCCAATGATGTTTTGTTTTACAACTGCTCTGCCAGTAAGATCAGTTGAGCTCAAGCACATCAAATGCAAAGCATCTCAAAGGGGGCGGAGTTGTCAGATACTAGAGAGCATTTGATTGGTCAGAATATTTCATCATATATAACATCACACTACAAGCTTTTGGTGTTTATATCAGGTTTATATCTTCTAAACGTGAATATTGTCATTGTTTTAGTGCATACTAGCTTATAGATATCTTAAAAACTAACAATACACTTACTAACAACCTAAAAAAGCTTTAAAACTTTAACTTTTAATGATAATAAATGTGTTTCTCAAATCATCATTTTATTTTATGCCATAAAGTATTATTTTTACAATTTTGTGCACTTGAAATTAAACATGCAGCATAATGTCACGTGATAACATTTTAGCTAGTCTGAAAAATTTAGTTCTCTATTTTGACGGTCCATGCGCAGAGCACAAAGCGCAGGGCGCAAACGCTTTCAGGGCGTGTCAGAATGCATTTTTGCTAATTTAAGGATGGGAAAATCCGCTTTGCGATGTGGCACATGGTCTTAAAGGGTTGAGTTTATTTTCTTATTGAGTTATAGGTGTGTTTTGAGAATAAACCAATCAGAGTCTCATCTCCCATTCCCTTTAATGCTGCGTTCACACCAGACACGGAACGCGCGTCAAGCGCGAGTGATTTACATGTTAAGTCAATGCAAACGCGCGAATAGGCATCCTGCGGCGCGATACGCGTAAATGGCGCGGTGAGAATGACGCAAATGGCGCGGCACGAATTGAGCGTTTGACGCACTACACGCGCGTTTTGCACGAATCACTCGAGTTCGAAAATCTGAACTTCAGCGGACATTCGCGACACATTAACCAATCCGGAGCTTGCTCTTGTGGGGGCGTGATTGTGACATATCGCCTGTTGTCGGTGTTCACAGCACTTGCGTCAAGGTGAAACTAGCAAATAACATTTGTGCCGCATTGCGCCGGGTGTATGATAGGGCCCTTTAAGTGCCCTTGTTATGCTGTTTCTCAGATATTACCTTTCTTGTAGTGTGTACCATAGCCGTTTTGTCAATGTAAACGCTTTACAAAAGTGTCAAATCAAAGATCAAAGTGTCTTCCAAAAGAAAGAAATGATTGTGAACGGCCGGAACATGTCGTCAGTAATTCCAATCTGACTTCCTACACAAAGACATTTGCATATTACCAGTCTCAGGTGTCTATTGGCTGTCTGTGAAAGCGAAGTATGTCTACTTTTACCTCAAACACACTGCAGTTGTAGCTCAGATTGTAAAAGTGTGGTTTACGTTGTCGTCATGTCAAGTAGACTCTGTTTTCTGTGCTGTGAAAGCAAATCCACTTCCAAAGCATGAGCATTGATTTGGTCAAATTGATGTTTACTGTTGGCATCACTGTGTTTACAAGTGCTGAAGAAACTGAAATTCAAAGCACTGTTGCACAAAGCAGGTTTGGATTTTGTGCCCAGGTAAGTTCAGGATGAATGACCGCATGAACTTTTTTTTGTTTTGTGACGCAGTTCCTAGAGAAACTAAATATTTAATGAGAAAACAGTGGGGGTGCCTTGTTTTTTTCTGATGTATTTAAGTTTTTGACTCTTCTAAAGCATAAAAATACCACAATGTGTTTGCAGATATTTAAGAAGCATGCCAAGTGAACATACTTGTTTATCTGGAAACCACTGCTTAAGTCAGATACTCTGCTTTGAAAATGTGCGTTATGTGCTGGAATGGCTGTCTTGGTTTTGGTCTTTTAACCCACCCAATGCCAGTTTGGCCAATTATTTTTAAGCACCCCAGGTTGCCTTGGTGGAAAACAGAGTATTTGATTCATTCAATCAGGAAGGCTCTCGGAGTATGCGTCTGTGACCGAAATGTGACTTCCGGTGGACAGTAGCGGACTCCGAAATGAGAAGCAGATTCAGAGTTCTACTTGAGGTTATTAATTAGCGAATAATATAAATATTATGAACGTAAACATTTGGTGAGCAGGTTACATTGTATCCTAAAAGCACGCTATCTGACGAGATATGCAGTGATAAGCAAGTTGGCTGTTTGCAGCGATTCAGGAGCACAGAATAGTGCACTCACTGCACTCCAACAAAATGGTAAGGTTTATAATCTAATAAATACACATTAATCCTCTTTACCATTATTAAATGTAGATGCTGAATCACTGATATGTGTTTGGTTTGCACTGAGTCACAGTTCTGAAGTTCAATTTCAAACAGTTTATTTTATTTATAAGATTTGAGGTGAACTATCTGCTGCTGCTTTCAGTAGTTTGGCAATAAATGTCTTGTAAAATGGCATTCAAACTCACATTATTACACTAAATAAAGCGCATGAGGTGTACCTGAGCTGATAGTTGTCAGTTTTCTGTTGTTCAGCTATAGGAAATAGAAGCCGTTTCTAAAATATAAATTTTAGATCTTGGTTAGAACCAAAAATCTCCTTTTAATGTGGAAAATATTACTACTATCACGTGCCGTTACTTTTATTAGAACACAACTTAAATCAGCCTTTGTTGGTGTCATACATCTGGCAACCTACTCTGGAGTGTGTTTTGAATAAGGAGTGCAATATCTAGTTCAACCACTAGGTGTCAAACTTACATACTGCACCTTCAATGCCCCATTCACACGGGGCGTCAGTGTCAATGCTTCCCCTTCACTTTGAATGGGTGGCGTCAGCCAGGCATTGCCGAACTGCATTGTGGATCCGTCGGCACCGCTTCAGAGGCGTTGCTCGCTGAAGAAGTTGAGACTAGCTCAACTTTTCAAGCACCGACGGAAGCGTCAGCCAATCAGATTGCTGTATTTAAATACACCTGCTAGACAGTGGCCTATTGCTGACTGAATTTCACTGGCTGATGCTTCTATGACGATCGCTTCAGCCCCAACTTCAGACACGCCTTTAGTCAAGCGTTCACGCTGAAGCCCCGTGTGAATGGGGCGCAACTTTGAGCAAACTCTTGACTTTTGAGGATCAAGAATGTGCGTTGGTTTTCTCAGACATCCCGAATTTATTTCCCAAATGATCCTTAACAAAGAGAGGAATTTTTCACAGCATTTCCTCTAATTTTTTTTTGTTCTGGAGAAAGTCTTAATTGTTTTATTTTTATAGAAAAAAAAACAGCTTTTATTTTTTTTAAAACCCTTTTAGGGTCAATATTATTAGCCCCATTAAGCTATATTTTTTTTCGATTGTCTACTGAACAAACCATCATTATTCAATGATTTGCCTAATTATTACCCTAACTTGCCTAATTAACCTAGTTAAGCTTTTAGATGTCACTTTAGGCTGTATAGAAGTGTTTTAAAATATATATAGTCAAATATTATTTACTGTCATCATAGCAAAGATGAAATAAATCAAGTTATTAGAAATGAGTTATTAAAACTACTATGTTTAGTAATGTGTTGAAAAAATCTTTTCATTAAACATAAATTGGGAACAAAAATATACAGGGGGGGGGGGTGGATGGATTAATTCAGACTACAACTGTATATTGCAATGTAAATATGATTTCACAAGATAACTATTTTAGAAAGAAATACATTTTACATATGTGGCATTTGATTTTAAATGGAGTGCATATATATATATATATATATATATATATATATATATATATATATATATATATATAAACCACATGAAAACAGATAGAACAAAGACAAAAATCAATAAAACATAACTAGCAGATCGCTGGTGAACTACAAATCCCATCATGCCATTTCACACACACCAGTTGCTGATCACCGCTGATGAGACTCACACAGCTGAAACTTGTGATCGCAGATCATTCAGACTATTTAGACATAACACAGTTCAACAGTTCACATCAGTTCAGAGTCTTTCTGTCACGTATGCGAGTGAGACGAGAACAACAGAGGTAAGAATCCAAATGCTGGTTTAATAAGATTAATCGTACAGGTAAGCAAAGGTTATTACAGGAGTGGCTGGTGCATATGAACAATCCAAATCGTAGTCAAGAAACAGACATAAGGTCCAAATAGGCGGTAAAATAGAATCTAACAATAAACAAGGCTAAGGTCAAAATAATACAGGCAAAAACAAAGAAATGCCAGGACATACACATATGTACATACAAAGACTCAGCCCTGAACTAGTGTGTGTGTGGGGTATAAATAGTCTGAATGATCTGCGATCACAAGTTTCAGCTGTGTGTCTCATCAGCGGTGATCAGCAACTGGTGTGTGTGAAATGGCAAGATGGGATTTGTAGTTTGTCAGTGTGACATGTAGTTCACCAATGATTAGCCAGAAATGAATCGCTGGTGATCATGGCAAAAACAAAACAGTATATTCTTCATTGTATCAAGAATTAAACACAATTAATCTTTGTTAACGTGGACTAACTTTATTATTTCGTGTTGAAATTGCTTGATATCCTGCGATGTGACTATTGCAGATTTGCACATTGCGATATTCATGCCAAAACAATACATTATGTAGATCTAATATTCACTGAACTGTCTTTATGCCTTTAATGTAAATAAATGTGCAAACAAATGACTAGCTCTTGTACCCATTGTGCGAGCTGTCACTTTAATAGCACATGCTTAATTTGAGGCTGATTAGGATGACAATTTTTATCCGCCGACTAAACAAGAGAAAACGTATCTCAAACTCTGTTGCGCACCATTTACAGAAAACATGTTGTTGAACCTGGAAAGCGTAGTAAAACACTGCACACTGTTTTGAGCTTGAACGTGCCCCAGATCCTAAAACATTCCACACGCTGAAAGAAAAAAGCTGAAGCTGCTGTGGATATTGTGAGAATATTAAAGAGATAGTTCAGCCAAAAAATGAAAAATACTCTCCCTCAAATAATTTTACACTTTAGTTTCTTTCTTCTGTTGAAAACTAAAAGAAGATATTTTGATGCAAGCTGAAAACCTTTACCCGTTGACTTCCATTGAAGGAAAAACAAACACAATTGACGTTAATGGTTACAAGTTTCCAGCTTTTTTCAAAATGTCTTTTTTTAGTGGTCAGACAGACAAAATAAAAACAAAATAAAAATTTCAAATAAGTTAATTTTATATTAAGTAAATAAGTAAAACCTTATGTAAAACCCTTAAGACAGCATTTATTATATATATATTATATATATATATATATATATTGAACCTTTAAATCAGCAATCTGTCTCTTTAAGTCAGCAATTTCAGTTGCTTCTACATACATATATATATATATATATATATATAGTATATATATATATATATATATATATATATATATATATATATATATATATATATATATATATATATATATATATATATATATATATATATATATATATATATATATATATATATATATATATATATCTAAATTATATATATATAGTGTATATATATATATATATTCCTCAGAGATTTTTCTCCTTATTGACATGATAGCATCTCACAGTTGCTGCAGATTTGTCAGCTGCACATCCATGATATGAATCTCCCGTTCCACTACATCGCAAAGGTGCTCTATTGGATTGAGATATGGTGACTGTGGAGGCCATTTGAGTACAGTGAACTCATTGTCATGTTCAAGAAACCAGTCTGAGATGATTCGCACTTTATGACATGGCGCGTCATTCTGCTGGATGTAGCCCTCAGAAGATGGGTACACTGTGGTCATAAAGGGATGGACATGGTCAGCAACAATACTCAGGTAGGCTGTGGCATTGAGACGATGCTTAATTGGTACTAATGGGCCCAAAGTTGGCCAATAAAATATCCCCCACACCATTACACCACCAATACCAGCCTGAACTGTTGATACAAGGCAGGATGGATTCATGCTCTCATGTTGTTGATGCCAAATTCTGACCCTACCATTTGAAGGTCACAACAGAAATGAAGACTTATCAGACCAGGCAACGTTTTTCAATCTTCTATTGTCCAATTTTGGTAAGCCTTTGCAAATTGTTGCCTCAGTTTCCTGTTCTTTGCTGACAGGAGCGGCACCCGGTGTGGTCTTCATCTTCTGTAGCCTGTCCGCCTCAATGTTGGACATGTTGTGAGTTCAGAGATGCTCTGCTGCAGACCTCTGTTGTAACAAGTGGTTCTTTGAGTTACTGCTGAATTTCTATCAGCTGAAACCAGTCTGGCCATTCTTCTCTAACCTCTGGCATCAGCATGGCATTTGCGAACACAGAACTGCCGCTCACTTGATATTTTCTCTTTTTCGGACCATTCTCTGTAGACCCTAGAGATGGTTGTGCGTTAAAATCCCAGTAGATCAGCAGTTTCTGAAATACTCAGACCAGCCCTTCTTCCATCAACAACCATGCCACATTCAAAGTCGCTGAAATCACCGGTTTAAACTGCAGCAGATCGTCTTGACCATGTTTACATGCCTAAATGCTGCCATGTGATTGGCTGATAAAAATTTTGCGTTAACAAGCAGTTGGACAGGTGTACCTAATAAATTGGCCAGTGAGTGTATATATTACATATTATATATAAAACCATTGTCCCTGTAGGGTATATTTCATTATTATAATTACTGTTATTATCTTGATTATTATTGATATCAATGTTGCCTTTTGTCAAACGTTTATCATACTTTCATTATTATGGATGCTGACTACTATTTTCATTCATTCATTTTCATTTCGGCTTGGTCCCTTTATTAATCTGGGGTCGCCACAGCGGAATGAACCACCAACTTATCCAGCATACGTTTTACACAGCGGATGCCCTTCCAGCCATCTTCCATCACTGGGAAACACCCATACACACTTAATCACACATACACTACGGCCAATTTAGCTTACCCAATTCACCTACAGCACATGTCTTTGGACTTGTGGGGGAAACAGGAGCACCCGGAGGAAACCCACGCTAACACTGGGAGAACACAGAATTCCACACAGAAATGCCAACTGGCCTTGGACCAGTGACCTTCTTGCTGTTATTCGAGAATAGTTCTACCACTATTTTAATAACCCACTACTTTAATAACACCAATATTATTGAGATTATCATTGCTGTTTAAACACAATCCTTTTTTCCCATTTAAGTTCTGTTGCCGTTTATATGTTTGCCATATGTTGTATTTACCATATGTTGTATGTTGTGTTTACCGTATGTTGTAAGTTTTCGCCCTCTTAATAATTAAAAAAAACTGATAGCACGACAGGGGCGCTTTAATATTACATCATGTGAAAATAACCACAACTTATAGCTCATTTCAAAAACCATCAAAGTGTGCTCTGCTCATACTAACCAGTTTAGCATCGGATTGCTTCTTTCTGTATTTGTTATAATCTCTTTTCAGCTCCTCGTACGCCATGAACTGCAGTGCGCCATGGGAGGTTCCAAACAAACCCGGGACAAACCCCTAGGGAACACAACAGTTAACTCAGCTAGATGAAACAAACAAACAAACAAACCCCACAGCATGCAACCGATCCACAGCCTAGCAAAATTCCAATGCATAGCTCTATCAATCCCCTATACAAGTGCTCCCCCTAGTGGCGCATATAAGAAACGCATGCTTGAACTATTTCCATGTATAAAAAACACAATCCACCCACCAATGCACAGAAAAGCTACTCATTATTCTGCATGCGGCCATAAAAATGCTTTCAAAAGAGTCACACCCTATAGAGTCCAGAGATGCCTTCATGCCGGTAGATTTTCACAAGTGCGTCCATCATCCCCTTGTATTGTTTCTGTGACGGATCTGCGCTGTACTGCAGAACCAGACGGGTTTTGGTGACCCAGATTGGATTCGTCAAGCAAAGCGTCATTGCTCCTAAAAAAACAGAGAGGCAGAATATAAAGCAAATGAACGGCAGCTGTTGGAAAGCCCAGATTCAAATGAAAAGAGTCATTACTGGACCCTAATGGCTCACAGTGAGTCATTTCAATGAAGGATGTTTGTAATTCAATTAGAGGAACCCGTGACATACACACACACACACACATACTCTCACACATCAGCTTTGGCGATTGGAGTTTATTATATACGCCATCTTTCAGGGCCGTTTACATCACGTTTAATGTCACAAAAAGCTTTCTATGATATTAATGGGCAGATCGTGACTTGGCCGATGGTCATTTCATCTAAAATGTCTAAGAGCTGCAGGCCTGGTGATAGATCATGCAGCTATAGGTCTATCTTGTTTACTATTTTTAATACAGTAAGACACTATATTTGATTTGAGCTTGTCAGAAAAAGTAAACGAAGAAAAATAATCAGATATTTTTATCTTCATTAATGGTTGTGTCATTTAAGAAATACTCATGGTGGACTAACACCATGTCCGACAACACTTGACATAGCAAGATTCTACCTAGCAGGCACACAACGTCATAAGACGTTAATATTAGGTTAGATTCAGGTCATGACGTCAGGTGAACAAAATTCAATGTCTAGCCAGCGTCCAAGGACAACGTTATTTTGACGTCAAATAACAAAGTCAAATGACGTTGATATTTGGATGATTTTAGGTTGTGTTGGAAAGTAACCGAAATCCAACTTCGAGTCAACATCAAGTATTGATGTCAAATGCTAAAAATTATTCGCCAGGTATGACAACCAAAATCCAACGTCTGGTAGATGTCATAGTAGTAACGTCCACAAAACATCAAGCTGTAACATCAATAGACATTGATATTTGGTTGATTTCAGGTTGGACGTTAATGTCGCCTGACTTGAGGTTCTGCCGTAAAGGGGATTTTCATTTCCAAACAAAATGCAACGTCCCCACGACATAGGGGAAAGAGTAATGCAAAATTATTCTTGAGTAAAAGTACCATTACTTGCCTTATAATGTAATGCAAGTAGAGTAAAAGTATCTGCTGTAAATATTACTCAAAGTACAGTATGAATAAAAAGTAGACCTTTTAAAAATGCCCAAGAGTATTGAGTATTACACTGTGAAAAGCTGATTCAATTACATGTCATTTGTGGATGTGTGTAAACGTAACATTCTCTAGTGCATTTAGTTATTGCCCAGCAGACACACAACGCCATAAGATGTTGATAATAGGTTCTATTTAGGCTTTGATGTCAGATGACCAAAATTCAATGTCTAGCCAACGTCTAAGGACAACGTTATTTTGATGTCCAATAATGACGTCAATTGACATCGATATGGTTTTGGATAAAGTGACCAAAATCCAACGCCAAGCCGACATCTTAAACCAACGTCATATTGATGTCAGATTTTGACATTTAGTCATCAGGTATGGCAACCAAAATCCAACATCTGATTAGACGTTGATATTTGGTTGGTCTTAGGTTGGACGTTGGATATTGACGTTAAGTTCTGACGTCAACCTGATTTTTAATTCCAAACAAAATGCAATGTCTCCATGACGTTAGGGTCATGTTGACGTCTTGTGTCTGCTGGGTGTTTAAGGCCATTTTGGTCATCATATCGTAAACATCCGTCATCTTCTCATCAGTTACATGCATCTAAACAGTCTCTGGGTCCCTGCGTATAAAGATTATAGACATTGCCTTGGACACTTTTAATGCTTCCAAACAGTTTGCTTGAATTAAATAGCACACATGTCTTGAGGTAGTTCATTATGATGTGATTTACCTTCTATGTGTGATTTGATTAAACAGGAAACACAGGACTGATTTTTCTAATCCCCATAGACAAGAAAAAATGCCCAAGAGTATTGAGTATTACACTGTGAAAAGCTGATTCAATTACATGTCATTTGTGGATGTGTGTAAATGTAACATTCTGTAGTGCATTTAGTTATTGCCCAGCAGACACACAACGCCATAAGATGTTGATAATAGGTTCTATTTAGGCTTTGATGTCAGATGACCAAAATTCAATGTCTAGCCAACGTCTAAGGACAACGTTATTTTGATGTCCAATAATGACGTCAATTGACATCGATATGGTTTTGGATAAAGTGACCAAAATCCAACGCCAAGCCGACATCTTAAACCAACGTCATATTGATGTCAGATTTTGACATTTAGTCATCAGGTATGGCAACCAAAATCCAACATTTGATATACGTCATAATGGTCCATGTACACACATGTCAAGCTATAACAGTATTAGACGTTGATATTTGGTTGGTTTTAGGTTGGACGTTGGACATTGACGTTAAATTCTGACGTCAACCTGATTTTCATTTCCTAACAAAATGCAATGTCCCCATGACGTTAGGGTCATGTTGACGTTTTGTGTCTGCTGGGTGTTTAAGGCCATTTTGGTCATCATATCGTAAGCATCCGTCATCTTCTCATCAGTTACATGCATCTAAACAGTCTCTGGGTCCCTGCGTATAAAGATTATAGACATTGCCTTGGACACTTTTAATGCTTCCAAACAGTTTGCTTCAATTAAATAGCACACATGTCTTGAGGTAGTTCATTATGATGTGATTTACCTTCTATGTGTGATTTGATTAAACAGGAAACACAGGACTGATTTTTCTAATCCCCATAGACAAGAAAAAATGCCCAAGAGTATTGAGTATTACACTGTGAAAAGCTGATTCAATTACATGTCATTTGTGGATGTGTGTAAACGTAACATTCTCTAGTGCATTTAGTTATTGCCCAGCAGATACACAACGCCATAAGATGTTAATAATAGGTTCTACTTAGGCTTTGATGTCAGATGACCAAAATTCAATGTCTAGCCAACGTCTAAGGACAACGTTATTTTGATGTCCAATAATGACGTCAATTGACATCGATATGGTCGATTTTAGGTTGTTAGAAAGTGACCAAAATCCAACGCCAAGCCGACATCTTAAACCAACAAAATGCAATGTCCCCATGACGTTAGGGTCATGTTGACCTCTTGTGCCTGTTGGGTGTTTAAGTCCATTTCGGTCATCATATCGTAAACATCCGTCATCTTCTCATCAGTTACATGCATCTAAACAGTCTCTGGGTCCCTGCGTATAAAGATTATAGACATTGCCTTGGACACTTTTAATGCTTCCAAACAGTTTGCTTGAATTAAATAGCACACATGTCTTGAGGTAGTTCATTATGATATGATTTACCTTCTATGTGTGATTTGATTAAACAGGAAACACAGGACTGATTTTTCTAATCCCCATAGACAAGAAAAAATGCCCAAGAGTATTGAGTATTACACTGTGAAAAGCTGATTCAATTACATGTCATTTGTGGATGTGTGTAAACGTAACATTCTGTAGTGCATTTAGTTATTGCCCAGCAGACACACAACGCCATAAGATGTTAATAATAGGTTCTACTTAGGCTTTGATGTCAGATGACCAAAATTCAATGTCTAGCCAACGTCCAAGGACAACGTTATTTTAATGTCCAATAATGACGTCAATTGACATCGATATGGTCGATTTTAGGTTGTTAGAAAGTGACCAAAATCCAACGCCAAGCCAACATCTTAAACCAATAAAATGCAATGTCCCCATGACGTTAGGGTCATGTTGACCTCTTGTGCCTGTTGGGTGTTTAAGTCCATTTCGGTCATCATATCGTAAACATCCGTCATCTTCTCATCAGTTACATGCATCTAAACAGTCTCTGGGTCACTGCGTATAAAGATTATAGACATTGCCTTGGACACTTTTAATGCTTCCAAACAGTTTGCTTGAATTAAATAGCACACATGTCTTGAGGTAGTTCATTATGATGTGATTTACCTTCTATGTGTGATTTGATTAAACAGGAACTGCACTAAAAATGTAAAAATGTACTCAAGGGACGGTAAAAGTACACATTAATAAAACTACTTATTAAAGTACAATTCCTGAGAAAAACTACTCAATTACAGTAATTGAGTATTTATAATTAGTTACTTTACACTACTGGACGTCATGATGATATCCTGTGCCTGTTGGGTAGCAACAAATTGTCTGTCTCTGCACCAATGCGCAATGCAAATCAATGGAAGGCAACAGAAACTTTTCAATATCAGCCATTCATTTAAATATAGGCCACTGCACTTCCAACAAAATGATAAAGGCTTTTAATCTAATGAACTCATATTAAGAGACTATAAATGACAATATTTTGTAAATGTAATCACGCCTGATACATCCAGATAAACTTTAAGCGGCATATGTATGTATGTGTGTGTGTGTGTGTGTGTGTGTGTAAGCGGTGCAAGCATATATTTAACTGTTGTGCGTGTGTGTGTGTATATATACAGTATATACATATATACAACAATTCTGTCTGGTTCTCGAATCTGATATTCTGTTCACCCTTGTGTAATACTCCACCCATATGACAAGCAGAGGAATAAACTCGCTACACTTTGACCAATATTGCAGCTCCTGGGACAACATAATGTACTTTTGAGGCTTTTTACAGTCGAGAATGTAGTTGTTTAGATTGAAACTATGCAGTTTATTTATAAGGATAGTATTTTAATTATTCATAATTTCAGAGATTGAGCGAGTCTGCGGCCATCAGCCTGTCATACTGAGCAGAGCAAAGACGGTTGACGTTCCACCACAAGGTGGCGACAGAAGATAGGAGAAAATCAAAATTTTCTCAGCGTACGTTTCAAACTACAACTGAACAAATCATTATAAATCATGTAAGTGACATTCTAAGCCAATCTCTCTCTTTTGTATGTTGTAGTGCTGTACTTACACCATAGTAATCTGGTAGTGTTTACTTTGCTTTGGCTCTTTTGTGTGTTAATTATTGTGATATCCAGATTGCAACAGAGAAATGCTGGAAAATCTCTGTAGACTGATGGCATTTCATGCTGTTTAGCCTTAAATTCCTAAATTGTGAGCAAAATAACCTGCTTTGTCATCACTTTAGACATTACGCTAGAGAATCATTTAAACACCAGCTCTAAAGAGACGTTAGCAATGGTTTCTGCTGTTCTGACGTCAGCTGCAGATGTGAATGAATGGTGGAAGAAAGTAGTCCCTCATACAAAAAGGTTTGTAGTTTGATTTTCTTTTTTATATACATGATTATGCCGTTGAAGTGTTGTATAAACACGATATCACATGAGTAGCAGTGCAATATGGTTGTATATCGTCACTGGTGGGACCTGTCTCCCACCAGTGCTGATATACAGCCATATCGCACTGGAACTCACGTGATATTGCTCATATATACAACAGTTCTGTCTGGTTCTCGAATCTGATTGGCTGATAGCCATGCGATATTCCACCTGTATCAGCACTGCTCTAGTCTCTTTACCCTTCTGTCCAATTTCGCTATTCGAAAGTGTAGTGACAAATAAAGGCTTGATTGATTGATTGATTGTATTACTCCGCCCACATTGAGTGCCAAGCAGATGATTAAACTCACTACAGTTTGACAAATATTGCAGCTGTTGGACATCATAATGTACTTTTTATTAGAGAATGTAGCTGTTTAGATTGCAAATATGCAGTTTGTTTATAAGGATAGTGCCTATGTGAAAATGTGTTAGCATAATACGGAGATGAGACTTCTAGAGAGTCGGCAGCCATGAGCCTATAATTACCTGGCGATTTCCAAAAAAATGCTATAACTGCAAAAAAATAAACATGTAAATAAAAAGAAATTAATTTAAATTAAAAGTACTAAACCATAAAATAAAATGGAGTAGAGAAAATGTATTCAAAAAATTGGAAGAGCATTAAAAATGTTAGCAAAACCTTATGCTTTTAATGACACTGATTTAATCTCTTAAACTTTCATTGAATTTTTATGCCCTCTGTCTTTTTTTGTAGAGCAGATATGCAGCCCATTTTTAAGTCCCGGCCCACCAGCTGAGAACTGCTGATTTACAGCACACAAGAGTTAATGTCTTACCCTTTCAGACTTAAAAACAAGCAATCAATATCTGAGCTTAGCCTCATTCGTTATGCTCCAGTTTATCTGTCACGACTGATTAGAAAGGCATGAGCTGAAATTCACTTTGTCAGCAACTTTTGAATAACAGGGGAAAATGAACGAGCAAAACACAGGAAAAGAGAGTAAATACTTCAGTACTCACTCAGTCTACCCCTTTTTCATTTATGCATTATTCTGTTTAATCCAAAGTGATTTACAAAGGAAGAACTTTCAAGTTAATCACTGTGTTGGTGGTTATTTTAGCATCAATACTGAAGTTTTCATTAACCGTTTGAATGAGTTTATATTGTTGAGTTTTTTTACTTTTAAACTTTGACTAATTTTGTTGTGTTGTGTTTTTAGCTTTGGTTTCAGTCAAAAGAAACCAAATTTGTTATATTTTATATTATATTTTAGTTTAAAAAAAAAAAAATCAGTTTTAGACTTAATTTAGTCACAACAGCAGAAAAAATCACCAACATATCCAGCATATGTTTTATGCAGCGGATGCCCTTCCAGCTGCAACCCATCACTGGGAATAATAATAATAATAATAATAATAATAATAATAATAATAATAATAATAATAATAATAATAATAACAACTACATATAATAATATATTATTTTGTTGTTGTTTTTTATTATTAATTATAGTTTAAATAAACTTTTTATTGTTAATAACAACAAAACAACTACTATAATTAATAATCATAGTAATATAACACCAACACTAATCATAATTATAGTAATAAATGCATTACATTAATAATAATAATAATAATAAATGGTTCTATTATAATTATCATTATTAATAATAATAATAACAACAATAACTACTACAACAATCTTATTTATAATAATTACATACATTACATTATTTTTTATAATAATATTGCATCAATATTACTTTATTATTATTATTATTATTATTAATAATAATAATAATATTAATAATAATAATAACAACTACTACAACAATACTTATAGTAATAAATGCATTACATTTTTATTATTAATAATACTAAATAATTATAGTAATAAATGCATTATATTGATTATAACAACTTTAAATAGTATTATCATTATTTTTGTTATTATTATTATTATTTTTTATTATTATTATTATCATTGTAATGCATTTACTATAATCATGATTGTTGTAGTAGTTATTATTTTGTTGTTGTTATAATAACAACAAAATAACTTGATATTATTAATTATGGTAATGATAACAACAGAAATTGTAATTATAGTAATAAATGCAATACACTAATAGTAATAAAAACAATCATAATTTTAATAATAAAAACATTACATTATTATTATTTATTGTTATTATTACTATTTTTAATAATGATAATAATAAATACTAAAACAATCATACTTATATTAAAAAATGAATTACATGAATAATAACAGCATAATAATAATAATAATAATAATAATAATAATAATAATAATAATAATAATAAATACTACACTTGTACTTGTAGTAATAGATATATTTTTATTTTGGTGTTGTTGTTATTTTTATTATTAATTATTGTTTAAAATTTTTATGTTAATAACAACAACACAACAACTATTAAAATTATTATTTATAGTAATAAAACAACAATACTAATCATAATTATAGTAATAAATGCATTACATTAATAATAATATTAACAACTACTATTATTATTATTATTATTATTATTATTATTGCCAATCCAAATGTCCTGAGTGTGATACTGACCTGCTACTGCTGCTGACAGCAGATGTTCAGTTGCAGTCAGTTCTATCTGCCGGGTCTCCTTGTTGTAGCCTTTGATCGCATTGTAACTACAAATCATTTGAAACAAGTCAAATGTAAAAATATATCCACAGATTTAACGTATCCACACATTATTTCTACTAATTCAGCCATCATTAAAACGCAAAAATAAATACCAGATACAGTTGAAGTCACAAATATTAGCCCTGTGAATTTTTTTTCCTCCGGACAAAGTCTAATTTATTTAATTTCGGCTACAATATTAGCAGTTTGAATTATTTTTTAAACATTTTTAACCATTTTATAATATTATTAACCCCTTTTAAACTATATATTTGTTTTCGATTGTCTACAGAACAAACATCTATATACAATAACTTGCCTGATTAACCTAGTTAAGCCTTTAAATGTTACTTTAAGCTGAATATTAGTATCTTGAAAAATACCTAGTCAAATATTATGTACTGTCATCATGACAAAGATAAAATAAATCAGTTATTAGAAATAAGTTATTAAAACTATTATGTTTAGAAATGTGTTGAAGAAATCTTCGCTCCATCAAACAGAAATTGAGGGAAAAAATATATAGAGGGGCCAATAATTCTGACTTCAACTGTATTTCCATTGTTTCATGGATAACACAGGGAGACAAATACATACAAGAAGAAGTAGAGCCCCCACGAAGCTCCAGCACCCCAGATATTGGGGGTGACTCCTTGATAAAGGCCCCGGAAGCCCTCCTGATGCCAGATGCTCTTCATGCAGTGCACAATGCCACTGTATTTAGGCCTCACGTCAAGCCCATCACTCACTGCAATACAGTAAAGCACAGCATGCTCACTATCAGCAAAACATCTCAAATACAGTGTAGTCAACGCTCCTTTCTATATAGCATTTTTAAACATCACACAACGTTTCAGAACAACTTCACAAGAAAGTAGGAGGATGGTGTAATATTAATCAGCTGACAAATTCAGATTCTCATTCATCTGAAAGCTAGTTTACTGTTTATTCAGTTAAGTTCAATTAATGCATTTTTTTTTTATTTGTGGCCTAAAATTACTAATTTTGTCATGATTTTTTTCAAAAACTTTGGCATCATTTGCTTTGATCCTTGTATGTTGCTGTGAAATAACAAGAAAATACTTTTAAAATATAAAGCGAAGTTCACTAAAGGAGGTCGAGCTTTCTCATATATGGCTCCCAAACTCTGGAATAGCCTTCCTGTTAAGTCTGAGACACACTCTCGCAGTTTAAAACTAGATTAAAGACCTAAAGATTAAAGATCTTTTTATTCAAGCATACGCACTACATAACTGTAGGATGCATGATTGTGCTCCACGCAGGTGAGTGGGCTTGACAAACCACCTGTAGGACACACTTAGGCACTTTGTCAGAAATACTTCTATGTTTTATATGTTTGTTTATAGCTAGTTGTATTGTTTATAATTTGTTATAAGCTATGAGTTACTAGGTAATTAGCTAAAGTTATTAGTAACTAATAAAGTTATGGTAACTAATAACATTAACTTTTCTGAATTTGATTGTAATGCAATGGAGACTTTTTGTAAAGCTGCTTTGAACAATAACTATTTTGAAAAGCGCTATACAAATTAACTTGAACTGAATTTACTTTAATAAACAGCTGTCACATTTGTTTACATCTTGGGTTTCGTTTTCACTGCCATACCTGCAAATCTGATTTTGACCAGGTCGAGTGGATGGAGCGCCAGTGTGGACAAAACTCCTCCACTAAGTCCTGCTATCAGATTCTCCACCCTCACATGACTGAAGAGCCGCTGCAGGCTGGGGGTCAGGGGTACAGGAGAGCCCGGACCCGGACTGGAGCTCATGACTGCAGCACAACCGACAAAAATAACCACCAGCCACTGTCACATCAACACAGACTTCATGAACCGGCTCATAGCATCTCGACCAGTAAAAAACAGCCTGGGGTTTGTTACTACACCAGTTAAAAGCCAAAGTGCCGGTAAAAATGAACAGTGAGCTTGACCTTACCGGTTAATGTCAGATCATACACACTGACAGCGGAGATGAACTGGAAACATGCTGAAACTGGAACATGGCGCTTTAGCAGAGACGCATGCGTGTTTCGCGCTTTCAAAATAAGAGTCTTTAATGAGCTGCATGACGAAACAGGCTTGCATCTTTTTTATATATATGAATAAATATAAAATTCAGGTTATAATACATTTAACTATCTATAAACATTTCACAGTGGACAAACGGACAACAGTATCAGACGGAAACTAAAAAATATAGACTATATAAGTTGTTGTTTTTTGTTCACTGTAAAAAAAAATGAGTGGCATTGATGGTTACATGCACAACCTTAAACACCTTTTTAAACAGTTTCTTTATTAACATTCTATGATTCTGAAGACCTCTAACTTAGCAACATGAAAAAAATGGTTACACAAAGAACCTTTCAATTGCAAAAAAAAAAAATAATAATAAAAAAATGACCCACCAACTTATCCAGCATATGTTTTACACTGCAACAGTTTAGTTTATTCAATTCACCTATAGCCTGGGTGCAAATTACAGGGGGGGGGGGTTGGGAGGGTCTGACCCCCTTAATTAACGCTTGATCACCCCTGAAGGAAATCAAAACCAGATGTATGGGGGGTCTGCCCTTTAAATAGTTTGCTGATCTGTATCCTAAATAATATTTTTAATTAAGATATTAAATTGTAAATATATTTTGATCACCACATAAAGGTTCATACCATTTCTGATGGATAATCATACCAATCAGTCTATGTGAGAAGTCATTTAACAGTCTAAAACTGCAGGTTAAGAGTACCAAGAGACTTTGAAAGTGTCCACAAGACACAACCCCCATTTATATATATATATATATATATATATATATATATATATATATATATATATATATATATATATATATATATATATATATATAGATAGATAGATAGATAGATAGATAGATAGATAGATAGATAGATAGATAGATAGATAGATAGATAGATAGATAGATAGATAGATAGATAGATAGATAGATAGATAGATAGATAGATAGATAGATAGATAAAATTTAAAATTGATGATAAAATCAGATGATAAAATAGGATTGCAAATGTCTGCAGTGAGTGGTGAGGACTGCAGAGAAGATCATCAGGACCCCACTGCCTTCTTTGTAAACTATCGCTGAGTCCACAAGAGGTCCATCCTGAAAGACCCCATTCACCCACAACATAAAATATTCACAATCCTACATTCAGGGCGGAGGTATAGGAGTGTAAGATGCAGGACTGCCAGACTCAAGAACTATTTTCCCCCATCAGCTATCAGACTTTTAAACGGATAACCAGTGGACGTAAACATTCTTTGCTCAGTAGCACACTATAATCTCCATCCCAGTTTGCACTATTAATGCATACAGCTGCACTCAAACTGCTCCGGCCATTATACTGTTGTTTGCACATAAGCCAGTTGCACTGGGCACTTTTTTGCATAATAAGCACAAATTTAAGAACTACTATACATTGTTTACATCTGTTTACATTACTCCACATTACTCTGTTTACATTACTCAGTATTTATATTATTTACATCCATATTTACATCCATATATATATATATATATATATATGTATATGTATGTGTGTGTGTGTGTGTATATATATATATATATATATATATATATATGTGTGTGTGTGTGTGTGTGTGTGTGTGTATTTGTGTATATATGTGTATGTTGTGTATGATGTGTATGTTATGTGTTTGTGTAGACGGCAAAGTAAGAATTTCATTGTACAGGGAAACTTGTTTCCTTACTGTGCACAAGACAATAAACAAACTGAATTAAATTGAATTGAAAATACCATGACAAAATACAAAATGTATGGTAGTGCAGTTTTAAAGAGCATGTTATTTTGAACAGATGAGTTTTGGATTTGAACGGAAGGAGAGCCAATGCTGGTAAATAAATGAAAACAAATAACAGCATAAACTAGAATTAGAAAGACATTTTATAAGCACTTAATTGGGTGGCACTTTTATTATATGTAGTAAAAGTATGTAGGTCAATCCTACCGCCTCTCTTTTAACCATAGACGTTCTAACGCTTAAACGCCTGTTTAGAAATGACTGATTTATGTAATTAAAAAAACAATAAAGTCATCTTTTATTTTCCTCCAGATCTACTACTTGAAGGTGTGCGTACTTAATATCGCGAGATTTATTGATTTACCTGGCTATTCACCAAAGTTAAAGTACGTACATTGCGTAAGTATTCTCTAATCGTGTGAACGACGTCTACGCTGCTGGCGTAGCAGATTTTTGCGGAAGTGGTATCAAGGGGAATGTAGGGCTGCTAAAGAACGATCGGTTTCTAAAGCAGCACTTGAACATCAATATTATGGGTAAGTTTGGCTAATTTTTATGACACACCATCTATAAAACACCGTCTTTTGAGCGTCGGTGACATTTTCTCAGCGTTTATATCCAGTCGAAGCGTTTGGAGAGTATAAATAGACGCTCGCTAGTGTTTTTACAGTAATTTAGGTTAGTGATAGCGCGCGAGGCATTTCCTGTCAGTTTTTTTCCTTTCGTAGGCTAATTTAAAAAAGAAAAATGCTTTAGGTTCGTCATGTTTTATTTAAAATGACCCAAATGCTTTCAGTTTTTAACGCTTTCCCCTCTATATGTAAAATCTTATACTCGTATACAATGAAGAAATGCTCTTTTTGAACATAAGCAAGCTAATGTCGGTTAGCAGCTAATCACACAACTGCCGAATTATTTAAGCTTTTTTGTTTCTACATTATATTTACGTGTTAAATATATAAATATATATTTTATGACGTTGTTTTGAATGAATTAAAATGTGCATTTACTATGAGAAGTTGTTTAGGTGGACGATGGACAGAAAAAAAACACATGCTAACAGGATTGAAAGCTAAAAATTGTGTTTGTATAAGACACATTAGATCAAAATTTAAGTATTATCACATTTAAAATCTGTTTATGTTATGAATTTGGCATTTTTATAACTCCACATGCCATCAGTACGTTAAGTTACCTGCTTCTGCAGCGATTGAGACACAATGTATGCTCTTCAAAAGCTTAAACAATGTTTTTTTAAGCTACTTCATAGTGGTTTGGTGAATAATATCAAACAGACACTTCTATTAAATGTTATTTCCTTTAGTTAATGTCTTGACATCAAACCAGATGCTGCATGTCATTCAGACGTGCACAAAAAGGCTGCGGTCAGGCTCTCACATCCTGTAGAAAGATCTGTTTTAAATAACTAAATGCTTCACCTGGTTTGACACGAGCTCTGTGTATTTTAATTTGAACTATGTTTGGCTTTATACTAGAGTGACTTCTAAACGTTACTGGCAACTTGAGCGTCTCGATTTTGTGTATATAGCTCTCAGACTAATTAAAACAGTACTATAAAGGGTGGTCATGAGATGTATTGCATAAGTGATCTTGCAGAATAAATGATGCTGTGACATTACAGGATGCAGCCGAGTGGAAAGTCTTTGCTTTATGACCTCTGATTGGGATGTCAAGCATCTTATATTCTGCGCCATCTCTTCTCATCTTGCGCCTCATGTTAATCACTGACTAAAATCACTGACTGTTTGCTTTATGTACAAAATAATGCTTTCATTTTACTTTCCTGTTATTGTATTATATGAATATGTGTGTGCTTGTGTGTTTGAATTAGTTTGACATTTTACTGTCATTCCATGAATTATTTGTGTAGATTTATTTCAGTAGACACCTACTCGTTGTTTACTATTGATATTTTCCACATTTTAGTCATCAGTGGGATTTGTGTGGTGACCAAAAATACTACACAAATGAAAGTTAGCCGAGCTGCTGTGTGTAAAACTAATTTCATTCTGAAGCATAATGATTTAAAAGAAAAGGTTTCTAGTGTAATGGGAAATGTAAATGCAATTAATTTGGTAGTTTGGTTATTATACTGTGTCATATACAAGTTAAGCCTTTCTTAATAATTAATCATGGGATCATGGTTGTGTGATGCAGTTATTTGGGATGGTTGTGAAAACAGTTCAATGTAAATTTCAGTTAAGGATAACAGCAACTTTTGTCATTGATTGTAATTTGTGTTTATGCACTTAAAGGTTTCCATAACACATCTGCCTATGGTTATCTCAAATAATTTTAATTAGATTTAAATGCTGTTCATGTTATTCCAAAGATTCTCTCACAGTTAATGACACAGTACGAGGAGACGCAGTACGAGGAGACAGTTGTTTTATTTTAAGAAAGAAATAAAAAAATAAAAAAAAGCACAAAATTGACTTGTAAATAAAGTAAAAAATAAAACAATTTCAAGGTGAAAAATGTTAATATTTAAGATATTTTAACTTTTAAGAACTAATTTCAGAGCATTAACGATAATTCATTTTAATGTCAGTTATAAATAGTAAGGTATTAAACTATTATTACTATTTTACTAATTTACTATTGTGCTTTTTTTTGTCTGTCTTTTTTACTAGTGGACCTTGTGTCTGGAATAAAGAGAATATTAATATATTTATTATAAAAAAAATAAATAAATAAGGCTGGGCGATATGGCAAAAATGCAATCTCAATAATTCTTTTCCATATTGAACAATAAGGATAAATATTTTGTTATCAGTTGTTAATGCTTTGATTTAAAAGAGTACCCCAACAACAGCTGAAGCGACAAAAATGAACGGGTCTATGCTTTAAATAGCATAGCATTTTTGGTCGATACATTTTCAGTGGCCGAAAATTTGGTACATTTTTAATTTCAACACACTTTTAGATTCTCATTGTTGCACATTTCTGTGCTTTGCTCATAAATCAATATGGAGTAAAAAAGTCCAGAGATTATCATTGTTGTTGACAAATTTTATCACAATTCAATATAATATAATTTATCTGCCCATCGCAAATTAAAAACCAAAGGTTGTTGCTTTGACAGTTAATCAGGTAATGACAAAGTGTGAGGAGACAATAATTTATATATTTATATATATATATATATATATATATACACACACACACACACACACACACACACACACAATTGAAGTCAGAATTATTAGCCCCCTT